AGTGTAGCACGGCCTTCAGAGACTTGGAATTATAAGGCTGATTGGGTTGGGATATATTTATTGGTCAGGGTTAATGAGAATTGATACAGGTTCCGGAAGACCGGGACTCTGAGCTCTCATCTGGTCCGGATGATCCTGATCACGCCTCAGTCACGAGATTTGAGTCGATTGCCTGCTTTTTCTCTAAAAGGTACATTTAAATAACACAAATAGTACAGCGGAAAGCCTAAGTGGCCAGTTACTAAAACAGAGGGTTAAACAATCAAAGCATTACATTGCCCTCTTGCGCGTCAGCCGTTATAATGTAACTAATGTTATACGTAAACACCCACAAGCCAACCGCGCAAGTCACCGAAACCTCACTGATCCCTCTTGGCAATTCGACTAAAACCTGGGGATTCGTCTTGTATGTGAACTGTATTGGGGGAAGAGAAAATATGCCGGCCATTACGCTTGTTCATCGCTGTTCGTAGGGACACTGGTCTAAAAGCATAGTCGCATAACGATGGACGGTGTTTAGCATATATCCTTTAGGATAAGATTTCGCATTTATTCCTCCTTGCCACCTTTTACTCACTTCACTGATATCCGGCTCTATCTATTCGCATTCCATTTAGCTAGCTGAGAAATGGAGAAAGTATTGCAAGCATGTCTAATTCATCAATTTATACAGGAACGGCAGACAACTCCGTAAGAAACTTTTTCACATGGTACACGGCCGGTGTTGCTTCACTTGTGAATAGATTTCCAGTGGAACATGGGATTTGAATGGTTACCAAGGTTAGACACCACTTATAGACCTTCCGTTAAGGACGATCGAAAGTTTGTCCATCCGCAGCATCAGCACTTCTTCCGTCTCACTACGGTTTATCACCCAGCAGTAAAATCCAGGATACTTGGCCGTTAAGATTGGGTTGGCACTTTGCTGCCACAAATGTAGCTTCCTCGAGACTTTATTGAGGATGACTGGTGACGCAGTACTCAGGCAGAATATGTATTGTTGACTTACGGAATGGATTGAGGCAACCAGCATGGCCCCCGAGGACAGGCTACCTAGCGAAGGTACAATGGCGGAGTACCGAGGTAGCCCGCCACCAGAACCCAAACTTAACCGGCTGGTGCACTACCACGTTTCATTTTTTGTCACGAAGTTTAACTGCTAATGCAGCTTTTTCATTTATGCCATTCATATATTTAGTTGCTACTTCGTTGTGTGCATGGCGCGTTAAGATAGCTGCAGCCCCTAGCGCAAAATGATTCAAAATCTCCTTCTGTGTAAAATGATAGGACAACGTAATCTTTTACATGTTTGTAAAACTGCTTTAAAATAGACAGTTTGTTAAAATTTTTTCATTGCTGCTAGTCTATTGGCCGAAAGTAAGAATTTTATTAAGCCGCCAATCCCCTCCTCCGGTGCGTGTTTGAACCGCCTCTTCTTTTTTCGTGCGTCGTCGGATGCTTTGTTTTTCTACTTTTTCGAATGATCGTTCATTATTATAATGAGAAGTGACTTTCCTCCACACACTATTAAGTGTTCGTTCTTTATTTGCAAACCTTTATGCAGTTATAAGGCAACACCTTGTCGTCGTAGATATTGTGGCATTTTTTAGTCGTACTAGGATTCTGCATCATTTTAATGTGTAACCTTTTTATTTCTGTTTTTCGTACAGTTTTGTGGATTATGTGTTTGTTGCAGTAGGATTTGCTTAATTCTGTTAACTTGATTTCCCAACTTTTTTAGCTCCTTGATCGAATCCACCTTGTTTTCTATTTATTCCTTTACTAGCTTTTTTTCAATATGGAAAACTTTACTAAGGAAGCATCGGTGGACTCTGTGAGTAGTCTTATAGTGTTTCTAAGTATTAAATTGATCAAGAATAAGACGTTTTGTTTGGTCTCCAGATCTTATGGTTCCAATTTGGGTTGTTGCTTATTCATTCGTAGTCTGTTTTATCTTTAAATCTCATTTTTTTTCCAGTTACCTTTTAGGTATTAAACAATGTTCTGTTTACCGATATCCCTTACAATACGTGTAATACTGCTGCTTTTTCTTAGTGTTGTGGTTGCTGTGTCTCCTACCCCTTTGGTGCTTGCCTTTGAATGACGAATGTGGATTCGTGAAATTTACCATACTTAAGTCAGCCTATACTAAAGCTTCTTTCCCGTTATCGGTTCTTTAGTACCTCAACTGCTGCCTTGTGAAACCTTTTTTCCTGCCATGTAATCACTTTTTTGAAATGGCTCTCTAACTTTTTCCCCAGGCTTATAATGCGACGAATCTCGATGTTTCTCCTGACCACTCGGAACAGACAAGTGAATCGGATGTATGTAGAAGGCACGGCGCATCTCGTGCCCACGTCTAGTTATGGCTATTGTAGAACATTTTCTCCTCATTTTAGTGTCACGAGACCCCTCCTGCTGATCTGATTCGCTCTGGGACAAGTTTTGCTGAGTGTAAGTTTCTTGTCCAAACATAGCAACCAGTTTGCCATTTGAAGGTGACTTATTTTGTTTACAGCATTAAACAGTTTTGGCAAATGCAATCAATCATGTAAATTATCTGCGAGGTTTATTTAGCGGCGTTTATCACAACATTGATCCCGAAAATTCCGCATTTTACTGCCCTTTTTTTCCTATGTTCTGCATATTATGGCGTGAATCTGAGCAATTTAAGGGAATTTTAGTCTCAGATTTACAGTGAGGGGTATGAATCGCTTGGCGTATGGTAAAGCTGTTTTGAGCGCGATAACAGGTACATTAAATCCTTCTAAGCCGAGAGCAATGACACCGAAGAGGAGCACCACGTGAGGCACTCCCTTGCTTTCACAGGCGATTTCGATAGCTTCAACCCAATCGCGACTGCTGATAAGGTGCGTATCAAGGCCTTGGTAAGTGATCTCACGCTTATTTTATCACGTTTTGTTCGAAATTAACTTGTTCATTTGGTTGTTTTCTCAGTCTTTTTTGCTCTAAGAGCCGCTTAATGGTTTTGAGCCTGAACTTACCGTATTCAAAGCATTGCTTTTAGAACACCTACTTTGAGCAACAATTGCAATTTATGAGGGTGAATGCATGAAGAAGCTACATTTGGTCGAACCTAGGCCGCTCTTTTGGGCCCCCATCTTTGGCAGCACAGAAATGTCTGAGACACATTGATGTGGGTGTGAGACATGAGTTACCGTCGTTTGCCCTTTCTCGCACCTTTGTGGGACGGACGTAGTGGGCGCGCGTGTTTATGCGTAAGCGCGCGCCCCGTCTAACAGTAACAGTGGGGGATGGTGGTCTGGCTACGGTTGGTGCCTGCTTTGGCTTGTTCTCTGTAGCTCCATCTGGTGCTCTCGCAGGCTACTTATGCAGATGGAAGCAAATGGAATTAGACTTATTTTAGTTCTGGTATTTTAGGAAAAATTTGGTACAATGCAGATTGGGTTATTCACGTAATAAGTAATGTTTGCTGATTTAATAATGGGTATCTGAATAGCTCGTCGAAAGTAATATTTTAGTGTTTTCTAAACTTCACGACCTTTGAGTTTTGTACTTTCTGAACAATGAATATATGGTTGTCAAGTTCTATTTTGCTGCCATAAAGAACCGTCAAAATTCAGCGATCACATTTTGGATTCGGAATAACAAAATTGGAGGAAACCACCTTTGACGTCCAATTATACAAAAATGGATGACAGTATCTAGAATTACAAATATCCCTTCCCCCTCTTTGTGGCAATTGTAGCCGACATCCTTACTTGGCCTTTGTTTCCTCCGTCGAAAGAACCTCTCAAAAGGAAACACTGTCCCACATTCAAGACGTGCCATTCCCCGCCCATACCCTCCTGTCCAGTATCGCCTCTGCGTGGACATGACTCATTGAAGCTGCCTTTGTATTGTAGCCTTCGTTGGTTGTCCGCTTCCCTGTCTCTTAATCCTTGCACTAGCAGGTCTTACGTACCCGCTCC